AACAATAGGAAGTATGCACTAATATACCGTAAATACTAATAAAACCCACCTGTGGTGGTATTATAAGGAGTGGCAGAGCCTGCTGGGAGAGCAGAGGTCCTGACAGGCTGACTGGCACTCTCCGATGCTAAGGCGCCTGTTGCACAAGGAATGCTGTAGCTGGGCTGCGGCTGACCCAGTTGCATCGGGGCAGAGGCAGCAGGCATGGGACTAGCAGGACATGGAAACTGGAGCTGAGACATCCTTGTTGCTCTAGCTTTGTAGGCCGAAGTCGAGCTAGGAAATGTACGATGTGGAAGGGACTGTGAATTGAAGAGGTCTGAATAAAAGCTCTGCCAGGAGGAGAGTCTATAGGACAGAAATATTCAGATATACCAATTACAGCATTTTGCAAAAATTATTGCTAATAAACTTATCCATTTTCAGAACAATAACAACATTGTTACAAGAAGTGTACCCCCTCCTGCACACACCGCCTAAGATTTATGGAAAACAGAACACAAATGGATGGGATTCATTGGGACGTTCTTCATGTTTTGTCAGTTTTATATATTGATACGTTTAAGATTCTGTCACTGAACGGCCACAAAATTTAACTTTGAAGTCAAAAATACACAGTGAGCCTCAATAAATCACTCAATTTGCAAACAAAAGAAACTACAGTAGAAGGAAATAAAGCATCTTAACAACATGCAAATGCAGAGCAAGCTTGTTGTGTTTCACTTATTTAAAATCTTTTTTAACTTTACTGAAAAGATGAAAAAGTCATTCTTCCAAATTAAATTCCCTCTTTACTTGCACAGATTATTTAGAAAATTGGGCCGTGCTCCTGAGCTTGTGATTCTGAAAGACCATAATGTATCAAATTTAGTTTCCAATCTCAATATAATAAGTGGCCCTTAACTTTCCAGTAGATCATGGAACCAACTTACAAGGTAGCTCAATTCTCTGGAGAGGCAGTATGTTGAGTTGTATGATCCAGAGCTGGCCATAATGAAAACATTTTAGAGGGAAACAATAAAATCTGCTAAAGAGGTGAAATTTTAAATAGTTGTTAAAATTTGGCAGAAGCTTCTCAGTGGACAAAAAATGCTAAAACTCTGAAGGCTTTGCATTTTTCTCAACGGTCTGTTTATTAAAATAAATCAGCCAAACACTTACCAATAAAGAGTCCTGTGCAAAAGAGTGAGGAGTGTTGCCGTCAAAAAAATTCTAATTTTCCTTATTTTTTTGTTAAAAGATGTAGTTTAATTTACAAACAGAATTCCAAAAAAGTTGGGACACTAAACAAATTGTGAATAAAAACTGAATGCAATGATGTGGAGATGGCAACATCTAATATTTTATTCAGAATAGAACACAAATCACAGATCAAAAGTTTAAACTGAGAGAATGTATCATTTTAAGGGAAAAATCTGTTGTTTCCAAATTTCATGGTGTCAACAAATTCCAAAAAAGTTGGGACAAGTCCATTTTTACCACTGTGTGGCATCCCCCCTTCTTCTTACAACACTCAACAGACGTCTGGGGACAGAGGAGACCAGTTTCTCAAGTTTAGAAATAGGAATGCTCTCCCATTCATGTCTAATACAGGCCTCTAACTGTTCAATCGTCTTGGGCCTTCTTTGTCGCACCTTCCTCTTTATGATGCGCCAAATGTTCTCTATAGGTGAAAGATCTGGACTGCAGGCTGGCCATTTCAGTACCCGGATCCTTCTCCTACGTAGCCATGATGTTGTGATTGCTGCAGAATGTTTGCTGCACTATCTTTCTGCGCAACAATGGTGGAATTGGTGATCCTCTTACCATCTTGGCTTCTGAGAGACACTGACACTCTGAGAAGCTCTTTTTATACCCAATCATGTTGTCAATTGACCTAATTAGTGTTAATTGGTCTTCCAGCTGTTCGTTATAAGCTCAATTTCCTTTTTCCAGCCACTTATTGCTACTGGTCCCAACTTTTTTGGGATTTGCTGACACTGTGAAATTTTGAGTCAACATATTTTTCCTTTAAAATGTTACATTTACTCAGATTAAACTTTTGATCTGTCATCTATGTTATATTACAAATAAAATATTGACATTTGCCATCTCCACATCATTGCATTCAGTTTTTATTCACAATTTGTTTAGTGTCCCAACTTTTTTGGAATCCGGTTTGTAAAAAAATGTTATTAGTTTCATTAAGAATAAAATATGGGTTTATGAAATTTGCAAATCAATGCATTCTGTTTATTTTTCACAACATCCCAAGTTTAAAAGGAGTTGTCAGGTTCTCTGGACGGGTAAAAAAAAACAAAAATGTAGAAACGTTTTGTCTTTCATCCGAAAGACTTCTTCAGTCTGAGGAGCTGTATTCAGCTCAGTCTTATAAATAAAATAGCACCTTCTAGTGGATCAACCAGTTTGTTGTTGATATTCAAAACTAGCTATTCACATGATCAAGGAGGGCCATCAGCCAAACAATGGATCGTTAGCACACTGATGGCTGTTTACTATTCACAGGAGTGATACTAGTAATAACAGCATTGTAAGAGGGGGACAGTTGAACCCAGAGGCCTCCACCCCTGTTTAATGATGGACGATTTCTTTTCACAAAGATGGCCTCCTTTACTCCTCTCTCAAACCATCGATCCTCTCTGTCCAGGATGTGAACATCTTCATCCCTGAAAGAGTGACCGCTGGCCTGGAGATGAGTGTAGACCGCAGAGTCCTGGCCTGATGTTGTTGCTCTTCTGTGCTGGTCCATCCTTTTGGCCAGTGGCTGTTTAGTTTCCCCGATGTAAGACTGATCACAGCCCTCCTGACACTGAACAGCATACACAACATTACTCCGTTTGTGCCGAGGGACTGGATCTTTGTGATGGAACGGTCTTTGAGGTAATGTATTTTGGGGTTTAAAAGCCACTGGGATGTTGTGTTTAGAAAATAAATGTCTCAGTTTCTCTAAAACTCCTGCAACATATGGAATGACCACTGGTCTAGGTTCCTCCTTTTCACCTGATGGTTGGCTGGAGTCCTGTTTGGGTTTCTTCTCTGCTTTCAGGAAGGTCCAATTAGTATATCCACATTGCTCTAGAGCCTGTCTTGTGTGGGATTTATCCTTCTGCCTGGCTCCTGAGCTAGTGGGGACGCTGTCCGCACTGTGGGACATGGTCCTTATGAATCCTCACGTGCTCCAGAGGGTGATGGGAGTCAAAAGTATTGGTTTGTGTGGGTGGGTTTGCGGTACATCCAAGTTTGTAAATGTCCTCTATCAGAGACCGAGACCTCACAGTCCAAGAAAGCCAACCTGCCATTTTTTACATCTTCTCATGTGAACTTAATGTATTTATCCACAGAGTTGATGTGGTCAGTGAAATGTTGGAATTCCTGAGATTTAATTTTAACCCAGGTCTCATCAACATACCTGAACCAATGACTTGGTGTCCCTGAAAAGGACGTCATGGCTCTCTTTTCTACCTCCTCCAGGTTGGCAACAACAAGAGAAACTGGAGACCCCATAGCACACCCATGTTTCTGCCTATAATATTGCTCCCATATGTGAAGTAGGTTGACTACAAGCACAGTTTCAAGAGTTGACACAGCTGATCTGTGGAAAGAATTTTTTTTTTTGTAAAATTTTTGTTTATTGAACCCGTCCAGAGGACCCGACTTTAGTTTTTTTGATTTTTCTTTCTGGATTATTGAGCATGCATCAGGATATCCCAACTTTTTCTTTACTGGGATTGTATTTGCGTCCTAAAATTTTGCTCACTACTGTGTTAAGTGTTTGTGGCCAAACTTGTTTAAAACTTGGAATGTTGTTACACAAACATTATATGAAAAGTATAAATAAAAAAGCCAATGATTGAGAATTGCAGAAAAGATATCTATTCTTCAGCTGTGAATATTTGATACAACTTTCATCCTTCAAAATGGACTTTAATGTGTTAACCTTGTTTCAGTAAAATCATTCATAAAGTAAAAAGTACAGGAGCTACAACAAGGGAAACTATGTAGACTAAATCAGAGGTATAAAAAACAAAACAATTTGGGCAGTTTTTCCCCTTTGTTTGTAGCTGCACAGTTTGAGCAGATCACGTTTTCTCTTTTGCTTTGTAATTAACTGATGTTAATTTTGTTTGCAATTCAGCCACTGGCTATAGGCCTAAAACAAACAAAGTTGTAAGGAACTGTACCTAAAATAAACATTGGTGTTTTAGCAGGATCAACCGGTAAGCTAGTAGCAGTTAAGCTAGTAGTTAGCCGAGCTAATAATAATTTAAAAAGTACTCAAAAAACGTATTTGTGAGTTGTACATCTGACATTATCCGTATTTCACACGATTAGACAGTCTATGCATGCCTGAGACCACTGTCAACACACAAACTGTAACGTTATCTCCAAAATATACTGGGCCGCCGGGGTTTAATCCGAGCCACGTTAGCAAACCAGCCTTCTCTCTAGTAGCACCGGTGCGTTTACCTTCACAAAAACAAAACAGACGCTTTCAAAATGAAGCAGTACTGAAGGCGAACTTACAACTAAGCGGTAGCAGTGCTTGACACAAGTTAAATAGTCTGGTCATATCGTTTTATATTGATTTACCGGCCGGCGAGTACGAGGGAGCAGCCGGTGTCAAGACCACCGAGGCAGCTAGCTAACACACACAGGTCGGTGAAGAAACCTCACCTCGTCGCTCCTTTTCTTCCTGTTTTTGTTACTCCATAAGAAGCTGTGCTTAAAAGTCGTCTGCTTCTGGTGGTGGCAAGTTTTAAGCGTTGGTGTCTTTGTTACTTTATAGTCAACATGCGCCCATAAAGGAGGTGAGCTTGGGAGGACAAGGCAAACACTAAAGAGAATGGCACAGACTTGATTTTTCGCCCGGAAGTGACATCACACCGGAAATTCTTTAAAAGTAAAAAAACACAAAGTAGTTTAACGTGTTCAAAATCAAAGCAGCGTAAAGAAACGCTCACACTGTCAAAACAACGTATTCCGAATTTTATTCTGGTTGCATCAATAAGAAAAGTCACATGAATCAGAACTAGTATTCTAAATAGTGTAAAAACGCACACAAATCACTAAGAAGCTCATTTCTCAAGCCAATAAATATAAAATCGGTTACGATTCACTATAAAATATTGCTTCTATGGTCTAAAGTTCACAACTTGAAGATAAAGGATAGTTAACTGAGGTGAGTGGTTACGTTCAGGAGGTCACTGGTTGTAAGCCTGACAAATATTCAGCGAGTCTCTCAGCATTAAATCACGTAAACGCCACAGTGCGTCCACCATGGTAGTGTGAGCTCCTTTGCTCTTCAGCCAGTGTGCTGGAAGTCGACTCTCCTGCTCTTTAGTCAAGTGAGCATCTCGTCTTTGAGCTGTTGTGGGAGGAAGATATTCTCTATTAAAGCAAAAGTCATGTGAGTAAAATTATGCATGTCAAGACATGCAAACAATACAATATATTGAATGTTATCGAGTTTCTTTCATATAAAAAAAAAAGATGTTCAAACTGAATCAGATTTCGTAAGACATGTTTACACAAAGACAGACATAAAACCATTTAATAGGCAAACAGAAGCATCACCTTTGAGCGTTTGGTCCCACTTGCTGACAGTGCTAGACTCTGAATTTAAACCCTCAATGTACTTCAGGTAGGCCTCTGAGTGGAGCACCCTTTGTGTCTTTGGAGGTGGAGCCACAAACATGGGAGTGGTAGGCTGCAAATGAGATGGCTGGCCCTGTCCTGGATATGGTGGAGGGGCATGCTGCCCTGGACTGAACATCCCAGGCTAATAAAAATGAAACAAATGTTCTTGATAAATCAGCACCATATGCAAAATACTTCAACCATCATATAAGATTTATGGCTCTAATTCACTTTAGTCTATTTGGCTTCCCTCGCAGCAGATAAACAGTTATGTCAGAAGACCAACTTCTTCGCCAAGTTAATCTGTCTACTTATTTTAACAAAAACATTTTCTGTTTTCTGCTTACCTGCTGGATAAAATTTCCTTGTCCTGGACTTCCTGCCATGCCATTCATCCCTCCGCCCATCAAACCTGTTTAAACAGGATTTAATTTGTGAATATTTAGAAAAATGAAACACTAAACTTTTTGCTATATATTAAAATCTACAACAGCCTTTATAATTGTTAGTCAATAAATATCAGTTATTAGTCATATGGTATGAGTTTTGTCATGCGTTACATGTGTGAATGTGGAATTTTTTTTAGTATTAAGTGTGGAATGAGAGTTGTGATAGATCAGTGTGTAGCTCAGGCTGTTCAGCCTGTGGACCAGGTAAACCCCTCCGGCAGGAGAGGCACGACTGCATGTGACTGAGCAGGTGCAGCTGGGACAGTGGGCCCTTACCCTGATGAGGTATGCCAGGGTATCCAGGCATACCTTGCTGGAGATGGTGAGGAGGTAGGTGATGTGGCATTGGGGCCACACTAAGCAAACCCTCATGCGGGCCCTGCATGGGCATGTAAGGTGGGCCATAAGCTCCCATCATGCCTTTGGGAAGAGGGTGAGGAGAGCACAACAAATTCATGCATAAGTTACATGCAGCTGACTCTAAACATGCACTACAGTACTACCACTGCACAGAAAGGCTCTTTTCACACACTGACCCCAAGACATGAAAAATTAAAATTATTACATGCTTGAAGTGCTTTTACACACACCTAAAAAAATAGATGTCTCTCAAATATGGAGTTTCAGACTGTTACTATATATGGTGGGAACAGAAACTTTATATTTGATATAATAATGGACTTAAAGGGACAGCTCAAAATTTTTAAGTGGGGTTTATTGGAAAGGTTATGGAACATCATTATCCTACCTGTTTTAGATTGTTCTTTAAACAACCTTCATTGGGAGAAAAAAAAATATTTGACCAAACTGACAAGTTTATTCTTTTATCTCAAAAGTTTCATAAAGTTCATGCTAAAGCTATTATTTTAACTCTTACATTGCTGCCAAATTTACATTATGCTAATATTTTGTGAAACATTATATTCCTGCTAATTGTAGCACTTGGAAGTGCTAGCTGTAGCAGCAGCAGAAGCTATAGCTTATATATATTTTTAAAACATTGTGCTATTCAAAAGTAAAGACAATGTGAAGTAGAGGTGTATGTGATTATAAACACATGTGACAGCAGTACTAGTGTTGAAATCCTTCAGGTTCTCTCAGTGCAATGTTCACATTTTATAAATGAGCACTTATATGAGTGAGGTCTGAGGAATTGACAATTTGTGTGTGTGTGTGTGTGTGTGTGTGTGTGGTTTATTTTTTTTTTTTTTAATATTTTTGTTATATTAATATAGCAATATCAATATTTTTAATACTGAAAATAGAATTCACCTGAACAGCTACCATTCTTTTTTTTATATCAGTTGTTTTAATAAAGCAGTAATCTAGTTTTGACTTGTTTCTACTCAAACTTTTATTCATTTATTTTGTTTCAGCAGGTGAAATGTTTGAGAACCAGTTCTCATTCACAAACATGGCCTAGTTGTTAGCTTGTCAATCCCATCAGATGTTTTCTCCAAACTGAAAGGTTTGAAACAGCCATCTTCAGCAGGTAGGATATTGTTTATGATTTTGACAGAACCACACTTGAAACTAAAGTAATGCTTTTAACAATTTTGACTAAATGGGAAATTGATCCTGAATAATTACTCTAAGTAGACTAAAGATTTTTGGAAGAATTCCCTTTTTCAGGCTTTGCAGATGAACATTTAAAAAAATTATAAATTGAGTGAATTAAAACAGCTAACTCTATAAACGATGAAAAAGCTCACAAAAGTAACAAGTGAAGATATTAAAGGTTCAGTGTGTAAAAGTAGCTGCCAAAACAAATAGTTAAAAATGAACGAATGTTAAAAAAGCATGTATAACAAATGGAAAACAAAAAATGAATTCATGGTTAAAAACAAAACAATCATGCAGTCGTGCAGTATCTCACAGAAAGCCAACGATAATGAAAATAAAAACATAAAACTTGTAACTGCTTTAAAAGGAGGAAAGAAATGCTTTTAAAATGCAGCTTTAGAAAAACAAAAACAAGTTTCAAATGTTTGGAAAATGAGGATTATGTTTTTTGTTTTTTTTTTAACAGTCCAGCCTCACTTTCCTGCTGTCTTGTAGTCAGACACTCGTGCTGTCTCTGAGAGGGGTTACCTGACACAGGTGTCATGGTCTGGTTTATCATTCCCATAGTGCTGGGTGAAGGCACCACCCCCATCAGTGCCCCTACAGGGGTACCTGCTCTAGGGGAGCCATGCTTGTAGAACGGCCTATCACGCTCTTGCTGTTCCACTATTTTGGCTGCGCGCTCTGAAACACATAAAAATAAGTTTTCCAGTCGACTTCAGCTCATGCAGAAACAACTATTGATCCTGGCTGGATCGCTTGAATTCACCTTCATACTCTGCTTTCTTGGAAGCGTCGAGGTTTCTCCACTCTGTGCCTACCAATCGACTCAGCTCTCCGAAAGAAAAATCTGGGTGTCGGGCTTTGATGACTGCTCGCATTTCACTGCTGAACAGGATGTAACCGCTCATGTTGATCTTCCTCTTGGCTCCTTCCTTCTTCGCTAAACCTTTTATCTTAGGAGTGGCCTTTATGATAGAGCAGACAAGCAAAATATGTGTAAATATTTATATAAACAGTGCCTTAAAATGTTTTTTTTTTGTTTGTTTAAATTGTATGGATACTTGGGAAGGTGTGAAGGGCATCATATCCATGTCGCTTGAAAGAGAGGTTTGCATTTGAGGCAAAGAAGGCGTGGATGGACCATCTTCATCTTCATCGATTTCTTCCATGTCATCATCTGCATCCTCCAAGTCTGCCAGTTTACTCTCAAGCTCATCAATTTTCTTGTTCAAAATGGGTGAAGCTTCCTTTTGCGGCACAACCAGCTTCCTACAACAGATATCAAAACAAATTTTAAAAAGATGACGCTCAGTCTGGGGTAGATGGTTCTGTTTTGCAACAGTCATCACGTTAACTCACAAACCTGAAGTAAAAGACCTCATCCTCGAGCACTTTGGACGAATATGAGAAACGTTTCAGGCCTTTGAACTTTTTCATTTGTTTCTCGGCCTCATGGTAGCGGCTCTCGCACAGCAGAACGTCTTCCTCTGAATACTCGGTTGGTCTGCATGACAGGTAGTCCTTAAAGCAGGACACTGCACATTTGCCTGGAGGCAGAATTGAGCTTAAGTTAAACTGTTCATTCACACACTTTGAAGGGACAAGGCTTGTAGTTTAAAGCAAAATTACAAAGTGGTCAGTCAGAGAAATAGTTCTGCATTTTAACTATAGAGCAGTGAGGGAACCAGTAAACTTAATGGAAAACAAAAACTGGAGTCTAAATCATAGCATGTGAACCCTGTAAAAAAAAAAAAAAAAAAAGAACTTTTTTAACACTGTCAAAGAAATACCTATGACACAAGTCATGGGCAAGGTCTCCTCCAGATGACTCAGAAACACTTCTCTCTTGTAGAACATCTTTGTTGGTTCATGCACAGTTTCCTCAGGATGAATGAAGATGGGTCCAAAGAAGAAGGTAACTCCATTCTGTACCCACAGCTTTTCTATCCTGCGGGCAGATTAGAGAGTTAATAAATCTATTATTTGAAAACAGCATCAACATCCTTTTAAAGTTCATTTATTTTACTCTGTAGTGTACTTTTACCGACCTGGCAGCCCGAGGTTTTGACAAACCATGTGATCGGATGTAAATGCAGTCACCCACTTTAAACCACATGCTGTTGAAGCGTAGCTGTTCGTAATGCTGGCAGCCAGGCTCAGATCCATTCATCTCCATTGGGACATCTTCCCTCTCCTAATGAATTCACGTGTAGACACAGAGGAAGGGTGGACATTTTCACAATAATTTGTACTTGGAGATTATTACTCCTTAGCCATGCAGCTCGGTGTCAAAGCATGTGTCATCAGTCAGAAAGTTAATTAATCTTCTGTAGTAATGTTTGGCTTCAGCAACAATCCTCTGAAGATGTTTTTTCCTTTTTATCAATACCTACAGGATTTTTATTTACAGTAAGAGCCTCTGGATTTTACAGGCTAGGTGGTTTAATGGCATCCAAAGTACATCCAGTCAGATTTGTTCCATCTCAAACTTGTGCTAAATGCAGACAAAACCAAAGGGATGTTTTTTTCAAACAGGAAGTCGGTTCCAGCAGTTCTTCCATCTATTTTATCTTTGAATCATGTTATTGAGTTTGTCGATTCTTACAAATATTTGGGTATCTTGGTCGATTTGCATCTCTTTTAAGCTCCGCGTGGAAAATTTGGTAAAGAAACTGAAAGTTAAATAGATTTCTTTTTCAGAAATAGATCCTGTTTAACTCTGAGTGCTAGGAAACACCTTGTAACTGCGACTTTCCTTCCCTCCATTGACTAAGGTGACATTATTTACATGAACACTCCTACAAGCACCCCGAAGATGTTGGATGCTGTCTATCATGGTGCATTAAGATTCATAACTGGCTGTAACTACTGTACCCACCACTGCACCCTGTACTCCCTGGTTAACTGGTCATCATTAACTTCACACAGACTCTCTCTGGTGCATTTTCATCTTTAAATCACTTCTTGGTCTGCTGCCTTCATACATCTCCTCCTACATGTCACTGTGTGAGTGCAGCTACAGCGTGCACTCTCAGGACATTATTACCTGCAGTGTTCCCTCAGTGAGGACTGACCTTGGCAAAAGGGACTTCTCCTACTCCGCTCCTGTTTCATGGAATATCTTGCAAAAAAATTTTAAGCTCTTGACCTTGACCTCTCTAAAGGACTTTAAACATCTGCTAAGTTCATGGGAAAAACCAACGCAGACATGTTCTTGTTTTTAGTATTACATATCGCTTTCAGTGTTTCCCCTAGATAACTTGCCATGGCGGGGCGTTCATCTCGTCCATGATTTTTGCCGGGGGGAGGGGCGGGGAAGACGGACGGAGACACGTCCTAAGCTGCGCAGCGCGCTGTTTAAACCAAAAGTTTTAGAGGGTGGTTGGGAGACACGGAGACAGCTGCGTGCTGTTTGCACCGACAGTTTTACATTTTTAGAGCAGGGTGTGTGAGAGGAGAGAGACCGAGACACATCTCAGCCGCGAGCTGTCTGAACCAACAGGTTGTTTTTTGTTGTTGTTTTTTTTTTTTTTGGGGGGGGGGGGGGGGGGGAGAGAGACAGACACACATCTGAGCATCTGAGCCGTGCGCTGTTTGTACTGACAATTTTCGAGTGGTGGGGGTGCGTTCAGCATGAGGATTCAGCATGAGAAGAGGCTGCCTTTAGCTTTTTAGCTAGCACACCTGCATTGCGAGCCGCTGGTTTAGCGTTACGTCAGTGCCGACATGTGGTTTGGGGTGGGGTTCAGTAGACGGGGTGCTCAGTTCTGTTGACGGGGCGCACCGCTTGTATAATGGTAGGGGAAACACTGGCTTTCCAATTTAGCTGTTTTTTGTTTCTTTTTTTTAACAGCACAATGGCTCAGTGGTTAGCACAGCAAGAAGGTCCTGGGTTCAATCCCCAGTTGGATCTGGGGTCTTTCTGTGTGGAGTTTGCATGTTCTTCTCTTTCTTGCGTGGGTTTACTCCGGGTACTCCGGTTTCCTCCCACAGATCAAAAACATGCATATTAGGCTGCCTTCAGGCCCAGGCCTCCATTGCAAAAGAGATATGTTATATCAGTGGGATTTGCCTGGTTAAATAATAAATATAGTTTTCTTCCATTTATTTTTCAATTTATATGCTTTCTTTTACGATTGTCTACTCATTCTCTGTTAAAACAGGTCCCTCTTGTAAATGAGTCCTCGAGGCTCAATGAGACTAACCTGCATAAATAAAGGTTGAATGAACGGTAGCTTAATATTAATGCTGTCCATCTGCAACAAATAGTTTGTCTTTGCTCTCTGCAATTTTTCTGAGAAAAAGTAGACAAACCTTGTTGCTGTTACTTATGTTACTAAAATGAAACAAACAACAACAAAAAATATTATCCTTATTGTGTAATGTATGCAAGTCTAGAAAACTTCTCACCTTTTCCACAAAACTGCCACTGTCAATGTATGACACTGTGAGTTTTTCCAGGTCAGGCTTGGCAAACATTGAAGCAACACGGACAACGGGAAGCGGACTCTCCCGTGGTACCAACTTCACAGAACTCTCAGGCATGGCCCAGATTTTGATCTTCTTGAAAGACTTATTTCTGGCAGCGTAGCGTGACTCACACACGTAGACATCCTCGGGTTTAAAGCCATCGGGCTGCATTTTGAAATAATCCTACACAAACGAGAAAGAGAATCACGATTAGTTTAATGAAAACACTTTTGTTTTCTATAGGTGGTGAGGTTTGGAGAAGGGTCTTGCCTTCACAAAAATGACCACACATTTGCCCAAAACTTTGCTGAAGGGTGCTTTGTTGTAATAGTCACTTTTGAAGACCTCTTTTTCCAGGAATTTGCGAGTGGCAAGATGAAAGGTCTCACTGGGTCTATAGAACCAGCAGCCATGAAGCCACTTCCCACCTTCAGACACAAAGCCAAGAGAACATTACTTATTAGATTTTTTTAAAAAAAAGTATATAGGCAATATTTTACATATTTTCTAAGCTATCATTAGTTTTATGATTGACATGCAGTGCTCTCTAAAGTTTACAACATAAATGCTACAATATGCATCCTCAAACATTTTAGCAGAACCTTTAAAAGATGTTTGATGTGGCAGTGAAACAGCATCTGAAATCTCTGTGAATATGCTTTTTAAGACGTGGTAAAAACCACGCTTAAAGTAAACAGTCTGTGAAACACAAGTCTAATTATTTTTAAATTGGAGAAAAGCTTACTTGAAGCAGTTTGCTAAAACTGGACATGAATTTGCTACATTAAGAGGGTCCTCCCAGTATCTGTGACACAGATATTAGTAACTCCAGTTTCCTTGTAGTGTGCAGTTTGTAAATGTAGGAAAATACAAGTAAGAGATTGAGACTATGTAAAGGCAGATATATTTAAATGCTAAAAAAATCTCAAATAGTGGTTGAATAATATTTGTTGTTCATCACCTTTTGTATTTAGTGTATACTTTAGATCAAAATTGTTGTTTTTCAAAAATAAATTGCTAGAAAGTTACAGAGTTTGTTACCTGCTTCATCTTCCCACAGACGTTCGATACAGACAATATGAGGCTTCAGGTTTGGTTCTGATGGCTCCACATAGACAAATTCTCCTACGTGGTAAGTCCTGTTTTCAAAGCTGCAGTCCTGAATGTACACACGCTTTGACTCGGACTCAGACTGCCACTCCTCCTTGGGCAAGTCTTCTTTCCTGTCTTTTACATGGGACAAATGCAAGAGTTCAAACAAAAAACAAACACATCAACAACATTTCTTAATAATCTTTACACCAGTGTATTGTGCCAGAAGTTCATAAACCTTTGTTTTCCTCCTCTTCTGCTATTTTTTGCTTATCCTCCTCGATCTCTCTGGGGATTTTCTCCCGCTTTTCTTGCTCTACGTCGTTATGCAGGTGTTTTACTGAAAAGCTGAGCGCAGAGGAGAGTAAAATCTCTCCATTCTTACAAAGCTCATCCCTGATTCGAATGAAAAACTGCTGAAGCTCCACTGCATCCTCAAATGCCTCAGAGTCTGTCCTGCAAATCCAGAAAAAAAAAACATTGTAATACAGAAGGATGCATTAAAGCTGCTTGTTTTACCTTTTGTTGCATCACTTTTCTTGCTTTTTTTCTTGCTTTACAACAAAACAGTGGGATCAATATAAAGACTGGTCAAATTCTATCTCTTGACTAGAAACAAGATTCATATGGTTGTGCTTTATAAATTTTTGTATTTTCACTTTTTTTTAATAATCACTACTTCTACTAAAATTAAAAACACTAATTAAACATGGGCATATAGATAAACCCATATCACATTGAGAGATTTTTAAAAAAGATTATTATATCAGTAGTAAAATCTAGGGGTGCACCGACTGCAGTTTTCTAGCCGATCACCGATTTCTAAAAAGTCTGACCTGCCGATACCGATTTTGTTTTATAAGCGACTCTGTCAGGAGTTATAAGTTCACAATGCACCTTCAATTTTCCAGTATTACTTTACTGAAACATATACCCTTGAATAATATCCTAGAAACAATACAGACTTGTTTTAAATGGCCATGAGGTAGTGCTCTGAAATATAAATGAAGTTCAGACAACTGTTGTTAAAACTAAACAAACAACAACAAAAAAATCGGTAAAATCGGTTTCTCGTGCAAGTATCGGCCAATTTCAGATTTCCCCAAATTAAGGAAATCGGGGCCGATTTATCGGTGCACCCCTAGTAAAATCTATCATTTTTTTCTAACATATAATCAAACTAAAGAACTTGAAACTTGTTTACTGCCTCAGGACTGATTCCTGGATTCTATCAGTGTGTGATCCAAGATGCTTGAAAACGTGGTGTAATATGAACAGCACTAAAAGATGCTTTGATCCTCCTGTCTGCACTGAGCACCAGTTCACATAAAGCTCCACAGGTGAAACATAATGCAGACTGTGGAGATTGTATCCACTTTATAGCCATTCTATACATCCTTTGTAAAATATATTTAAGAATATATATCTCTACTTGCCATTTCTGTAGTTTTAGATTATGTTATAAATCTTGCTTTATTGGATAAAGCCTGAAACAGCTTTTTAAGAGGTGATGCCATACCTGTGTAGCCTTCTTGCCTTCTCCAGCACTTCAAACACGTGCTCCTGAAAGATGTCCAGTCTCAAGTATCGACCACGCTCCACATTCATTCTTATGATATCAAAGTTGAGTGGTGGCTTTTCCGGGGCAGCTGGATCCACAGCGGGGATCTCAGCCAGCGAGTCACTGTAGCAACGACCCTCTTCGTCTTGGTGGCTCATTACAGACACAAACAGGTTCCTGATGAGCTCTCGCACCAGAGATCCCACAGCAGGAGGACCGGTGTCCTCCCCTCGCTCCTGCTGCTTTCGTGTCTCCAGCAACACGCGATGCAACATTAGAGCGTCTCGATAGATCAGAGACTCTGGCTCATTGTAGATGCAGGCATTGTTGAACATGAGAGCGAAGTCTTCAAAGAGAGCTTCGACGTCTTGGTACCGGCCTGTTGCCATATGGCTTCGGACGCGCTCCATGTCGATGGGTTTCTTGATTGTGGCATAGTAGTCGGGCAGCTCGGAACGGGAAGGCAGACGGAGAAAGATTGTGCTTAAACGTCGACCTCGGCTGTCGGTAAAATTTCGCACAGCATCGTAGAGCTCATTTAACTTCTGCTGGAGAGGGGTGAGGTATTTGGACTTCTTTGGAGAAACGCCACTTTTTCCTAAAACCAAAAAACATGTTTAAAAAGACTGATCAGGGGAGGAGGTCGGTACATAAAACAAGTTAGGACCAAGAAAAGCAAATAAGAAAAGCTACATGAAAGCTCTCCATACAAAAAAATGTTGAGAAGAAATAATGTTCTAAGAAGTGGGGTTTTGTGTTTTAAAGTACAGAAAGTCAAAAAATTGTACAGCCATCAACAAACTATTATACAGCAATCCATAGCAATGGCATGGACAAGCAAAGACCATGTATACAATTTGACCTTGATTTATGACCTTGACTTTAGCGCTGGGGTGATGAAAAGTGTACATGACAATGTAGTGATGATGCATATGTATAAGAAGTTTTGTTAAATGTTCTTCAGTGGATCAGAAGTTATGGACGAGACAATGTAAAGTTAATGGACATACAGACAATACCATAATATCTATGCCTTTTGATGGGCATATAAACAAAATTACAGAATGAGAAGCAATAAAGTTCTGCCTGTATAAAAATGTATGTAAAAAAACTGTTAAATTATGAGTAACAAATTGCTTTGTGCCAAACATGCACATTTAAAATAAAGCACACCTGGTTTTGAGTAAATCCACAACGGCGTGTCAAGAACAGAGAACTCTTACTTATTTTCAGTTTAGGTGATCCCACATCCTCCTCCTCCGGTGGAGGTCCCAACTCCTTGCGTTTGTCTTTCAGGATCTTCTCCAAAACGTTTGCATCATTATACACCTACATACACAGACATTAGAGTGTCGGGTGAGTTATTCTGTTTGTGTTAATAGCAAAGTAATTAAATAAAAGTTTAATGTTTTGTCCTGAGGGAAAACACATAGCACACCTGAGATCCCTCTTCGTTATAATGCCGAGCATTACGGAACATCAACTTCATGTCTTCTATTAGCTCTTCTTCTGTGGTATAGCGTTCATTTCGAATTTTGTACTCGATGGTTTTCAGGTCCATCGGTTCGAGAATGACGTTGTAGTAGTCAGGGTAGTCCTTCTTGGATGGTTTAACCATAAAAAGCTCACAGAGACGTCGATTGGTACTGGTCTCCCTGGCCTCGATCACGGCAGCATACAGGGCTTTCATCCGGTTCTTTTTGACATTTTTCTTATGGCTGGACAAAATCATAAATAAAAATAGCATTTATAGCAACAACAAAAACACAGGAGAATATTTGCTTTAAAAAATAGTTACTCTTCAAACCTTTTCCTTTTGACGCTCCCTGCATCAGAGGATAAAATGCTGTCTCCATCTTCTTCATCTCTCCTCACAAGTTCCTTTTTCTTCGCCTGTGCAAACAATTGAGGAAATACACTTTACACATTTGTTTAACCTTTTTTCTTAGATTAATTTGGGAATTAAAACATGTTCCAGCAAAATCAAACAAAAAATAATTTCTGGGTCATCACCTGCATAAGCTGCTGAAGCCTGAAAGCTCGTTTGTAAATGCTTGAGGTTGGCATGTTGTACCGCTTTGCATTCTCAAACATCAAAGTGAGGTCTGCCTCCATCAGTTCCACACTTTCATATTCACCATTCTTCATCTTCGCCCTATAAATCAAAAAGGCTTTTAAATGTACTTGAACCCTTTGTGAAACATTTGGACATTTGAACATTTGTTTTAGCTGTGACTTTACAGAATGACTGGTCCTCACCTGATCTGTTGCAGAGAAATTGGTGTTTTGATCTGCTGATAATAATCAGGATACTCTCTGCGAGAGGGGAGTTGCTGAAAAGGTTCAGAGAAAACCTGTCCCTGATTGTTCCTGGCTCCTCTCACAGCTTCGTAAAGTTGGAAGATGGGGTTGCTCATCTCCATACTTGAACTCTGGCTCTCGGCCTCTGACTCGCCCTCGTCATAGCACACAGATCCTGCAAATGTACATGCAACAATCAGTACTGTTGATCGCACACATGAGATTTCTCTGAAACAAAAAGCAATGAGCTTACCTGAAAGAACAGGGTCATCCTCACTCTCTGAACCGTACTGAGGAGCAGCACCAGGAAATCGATCGCCCTGCCCAGATCGGCGATTTCTGAAAAATACAAACCATTTAAAAAGAAATAAACATTTTTGTTTGAGAACAATTTTCTACTTTTTTTATGTATAAACAAAAACATAATATTTTTTTCTTTGATTACCTGATGCGGAGGCTAGATTTAGTAGGCTCAGCATGTTCGAGTTCAGTTTTGCGTTGGATGAAAATTTTCTTTATTGTGTTAGCATCCTGTGCATTAAGAAAACAACAAGTGATGTTCAGGGTTATGCAATGCATTTAAAGAAACAAAGGAGAAACTGTTTTACCTTAAAAACCTGAGATCCTGGTTCATTGTATGTTTTGGCATTTTTGGCCATCAGGTCAACATCCTTGGCCATAGCATTAACAGTTTTATAGTATCCAGCCTGTGGACATTAATTATATTTGTACAGTGTAAATGATGCAACCATCAAGTTCTGAAAGAAGTCTTTTTGGTTTTAGAATATATTTTGTGTTATACATTTTAATATACAACATGAGAGTAAGGGAGGGAAGTGGTTACCTGTATCCTCTGAGCGATTGCTCTCAGATCTATTGGCTCCTTTATGATGGCATAGTAGTCTGGGTAATGCTAGAAAAGACATAACAATGTCACTAAAAAACTGAATATTATTACAAACAAATGTAAGCAGAACTAATGTCAACCAGGATTCAATTAAAAACATTTCTGAAAAACTAATATAGAAGAAACACTTTGTGTAAAGCATTGCATGTCCTATTGTTGGTGGCATTAAATATTTAAACAATAATATTTGAAGTCAGTGGGACTCACCACTTTAGAAGGCAGTTTTTGGAAAAGTTCGCTGACTGCTCGCCCTGAGGGATCGGTGTGTGACACTATAGCCTCCAAGAGTTGCTCTAGTACTTCTTTCAAGCTGCTAGCTGATGTCTGAAAGATAAATATACAGGTTTAAAAACCTTTTAAATATCACATTTTATCCCAATCTTTGTGATTTACACATTTCAGTTGAGTCTGAATGAGAATATGAAATGAACATAAGCAACTTCTCCATACAAGAACTTACATATTCAACTCCAGAATTATCAGTCACGTCATCACCATCTTCCTCTTCATCATCTCCATCTCCAGGCTGCACAAACTCATTCCTTGTTTGCAAATATACTTCCCACAGCTTACATGCTGCTTGATATTCTTCCCTGTCACTCTGAATCATTGAACAAAAGAGAGCGCATTCAATTCAATGAACATTATTGAATCCATATTAACCAAAGCATTATTCAATATTCTACCTCACCATAAAAAAGTGTTTTCATTTTTACAAGCAGCCATGCTGTCTTGCTCTAGCTTTCCTGAACATAGACAGCATACCATCCATCCATTATCTTTTACCCCCTTCTTCCATTTTGGGTCACGGGGGTCGCCGGTGCCCATGTCCAGCAATCACTGTGCGAGGGGCGGGGTACACCCTGGACAGGTCACAAGTCCATCACAGGGACACAGAGACAAACAACCATTCACTCTCTCACTCACACCTAGGGACAATTTAGAGTTACCAATCTGCCTAACATGCATGTTTTTGGTCTGTGGGAGGAAACCGGAGCACCCAGAGAAAGCCCACGCATGCACGGAGAGAACATGCAAACTCCACCCAGGAAGGCCCCCAGACTGGGATAGAGAGCATACCTTGCAAGGCAAAATTATCTAAATTATGGGGGTGCACCGATTGCAGTTTTCTGGCCAATCACCGATCTCTATTTAAATTATATATATATAAATATTAAATTTAATCAGTAACAGGTTTCATCAAGCAAAACAGATAAAAATATTCAGATTCATTGTACTATATAAAATAATTGTGTTTAGCTAATTAGACACTCAAAGGTTATATAGTTTATGGTAGGGGTGCACGATTGCAGTTTTCTGGCTGATCGCAGATCTCTAAAAAACCTGACCTGCCGATTCCGATTTTGTTTTAACTAAGTGTCAGGTGTTATAAGGTCACAATGCACCTTCAATTTTCCAATCTTATTTTATTGAAAAACATACCCTTGAACAATATCCTAGAAACAACACAAACTTGTTTTAACTGGCCATGAGGTAGTGCTCTGAAATATAAAAGAAGTTCAGACAATTGTTGTTAAAAACTACAAAAAAAATCGGTAAAATTGGTTTCTCGTGTAAGTATCGGCCAATCTCCGATCTCCCAAAATTAAGAAAATCGGGGCCGATTCATCGGTGCACTCCTACTAAATTACTTTAGAATGTAATAGCTAAGTTAAGTTGCATAACCGATATGATTAAAAAAAACTCTTGCTTTACATAATTAATTTGGTTTTAGGATACAACAAATCTGACTTACTGGTAATTTAGGTTCAAGTCAGCAGTAAATGCTGCTTTTATAAGGGCCTTAGACAAGTTAGTACCAGAATATGTGGATGTAATATCATTCACTGTATATTAAACAAATTACCAATTTTAAAAAGTAACCTTATCTGTAGGAGGTAAAACTGTGATGATTACAAACATGTACAGAATGCTGATAAGAATAATGAACAAAGTCACTTTAAAAAAAAAAAATCTCTCTACCTTGTAGAATGACCGAGCGTTATTAAACATGAGTTGAAAATCTGAAGTAAGCTGCTCCACTTCAGTATACTCTTCTGACTTCAGCTTGTACTGAATCTTTGTCATATCAATCGGCTGGGAGATCACTCCGTAATAATCAGGCTGATTCCTGAAAAACAGGAAAAAAGATTACTTCACTAAAAAGAGCAACTTCACTTGTTTTTGTTTATTGATAAGCAGAATAACAACACATGTTGCTTGTTATATATCTTTTATTGATGCTATAATCTGGTGCCTAATTCGGTCCTATACTTTCCTAAAACTATTTTTCTTTCCACATTGTAACTGTTAAACCAGGGGCTCAAAAAATATCTGAGTAACTTTTTGATTAGTTGCTCAGTAACTATAATATCAACTTGCATGTCAGTTTTACAATTTTAATTAAGAAATTTGGAGAATATTTTAATAGTTTCTATTCATTAAGTAATATTGCAAATACCTCCTTTTTGGCACCCGAAGGAAAACTTCACAAAGTTGCCTCCCGTGATGATCCTTGTAGTCTTTGACAGCATTGAACAGCTCATGACAAACAGCAATCTGACAGGAAAATGATCAAATAAAATAAAAATCCAAATGATAAATTGCTTTAATGCAAGTGTTGCTACTCATGGCATGAACATGTAAAAACAAGGAAAGCGCATTTCACCGTATCAACAGGAGGAACATTGGTATTGGAAACTTTTCTTCTTTTTCGTCCGGGAGTCGATGAAGAGTTATCGTCGTGGTCTCCCCCACCACTGACGCTGCTGCAGGGAGAAGTGGCTCGTCTTCGCTTGGTTGACATCCCGTTCAATGGTTTAACTAGCAGCCTAACCTGCTAGCTAAGTGTGAAAAAAAAGAACATAAAACAAAAACTAACCTTTAATCCAAACAATTCATTTAAATAGTACGTTTGTTGTTGTTATCGCCCCCATCTGTACCAAGTCTAATACTAGAACAACCACTCATCGAGTTAGAATGGATGAAACAAAGCAAACTGTTAGCATCCGGTTTTAGTCGATCAGCTGCTTTTCTAATAAAGCACGATTTTTCAATATTTCATCAAAATAGACGAGAATGAAAGACTATGTAAAAACATTAACGTTCAATTAAATTGCTTACCAGTTTTCAGCAATTTTGCTGTAATTCCCTGAGCTAAAAATATGTAAAAGCTAGGTAGCTAGCTAGCGGTCTTTGATAACTCTTAACCGGAAGTTGGAGCTGCGTTCCGTTTGTGACAAAAAAACAAGCTTCTTGAACAAGTGCTGACCCCTGGAGGTTAGAAGTAGTATTGCAAGTATGAGCGCGTCATTCTAAGGAAAGACTGAAAGGAGATTTAAACTTTATATTCCAGTACTGCTATTTTAATAGCCTTTATAGTATGCACTTTATTCAGAGGGAAATAGTACACTTTCTAGTCAATGACGTTTGGCAATACTGAAATACATTTTAGCATATAATGTATTTTTATAGTCCAACAATTTTCAGTCAGGTCATCTGGACGGTTTCTTTTTTTTTTTTTGTGCTGAAACGTTTTGTCTTCGATCCAGAAGACTTCATCAGTCTGAGCAAATGCCAAACAAAACTGCTTCTCCCCCAAAAGCTTACTCCAAAGTGGAAAAAAAACAACTGTTATGTTGGTGGTAAGATGGCCTCTGGGGTCCCAGTTCCAACAAAAATACAGGTCCTTCTCAAAAAAATAGCATATTGTGATAAAGGTAATTATTTTCCATAATGTAATGATAAAAATTAAACTTTCATATGTTTCAGATTCATTGTACACCAACTGAAATATTTCAGGTCTTTAATTGTTTTAATACTGATGATTATGGCATACAGCTCATGAAAACCCAAAATGCCTGTCCCAAAAAATTAGCATATTTCATCCCACCAATGAAAGACAAGTGTTTTTAATACAAAAAACGCCAACCTTCAAATAATCATGCTCAGTTATGCACTCAATACTTGGTCAGGAATCCTTTTGCATGAATGACTGCTTCAATTCGGTGTGGCATGGAGGAAATCAGCCTGTGGCACTGCTGAGGTGTTATGGAGGCCCAGGATGCTTCGATAGCGGCCTTAAGCTCATCCAGAGTGTTGGGTCTTGCGTCTCTCAACTTTCTCTTCACAGTATCCCACAGGTTCTCTATGGGGTTCAGGTCAGGAGAGTTGGCAGGCCAATTGAGCACAGTAATACCATGGTCAGTAAACCATTTACCAGTGGTTTTGGCACTGTGAGCAGGTGCCAGGTCGTGCTGAAAAATTAAATCTTCATCTCCATAAAGCTTTTCAGCAGCTGGACGCATGAAGTGCTCCAAAATCTCCTGATAGCTAGCTGCATTGACCCTGCCCTTGATAAAACACAGTGGACCAGCAGATGACATGACACCCCAGTGACTGTGGAAACTTGACACTGGACCTCAAGCAATGTGAATTCTGTGTCTCCTCTTTTCTTCCAGACTCTGGGACCTTGATTTCCAAAGGAAATGTAAAAGTTACTGTAATCAGAGAACATAACTTTGGACCACTCAGCAGCAGTCCCAGGCGAGATGCTTCTGACGCAGTCTCTTGTTCAAGAGTGGCTTGACCTGGGGAATGCAGCACCTGTAGCCCATTTCCTGCCCACGCATGTGCACGGTGGCTCTGGATGTTTCTACTCCAGACTCAGTCCACTGCTTCCGCAGGTCCCCCAAGGTCTGGAATCGGCCCTTCTCCACAATCCTCCTCAGGGTCCGGTCACCTCTTCTCGTTGTGCAGCGTTTTCTGCCACACTTTTCCCTTCCCACAGACTTCCCACTGAGGTGCCTTGATACAGCACTCTGGGAACAGCCTATTCGTTCAGCAATTTCTTTCTGTGTCTTACCCTCTTGCTTGAGGGTGTCAATGATGGCCTTCTGGACAGCAGTCAGGTCGGCAGTCTTACCCATGATTGCGGTTTTGAGTAATGAACAAGGCTGGGAGTTTTTAAAAGCCTCAGGAATCTTTTGCAGGTGTTTAGAGTTACGTCGTTGATTCAGATGATTAGGTTAATAGCTTGTTTAGAGAACCTTTTCATGATATGCTAATTTTTTGGGACAGGAATTTTGGGTTTTCATGAGCTGTATGCCATAATCATCAGTATTAAAACAATTAAAGACCTGAAATATTTCAGTTGGTGCGCAATGAATCTGAAATATATGAAAGTTTCATTTTTATCATTACATTATGGAAAATAATGACCTTTATCACAATATGCTAATTTTTTGAGAAGGACCTGTATAAAATGCAAAAGAAAACCGTAATAAGATCTAATATATGAAATAAGAAAAATGTTAAACTAAGAATACACTAAACACTAGCAGTACAAAATCAATAAGCTGAACAGCAGCAAGAACATGAGTCTGTGTGAGCAGATGAGTATGAACACAGCAACATGAAACGTTGGTTACATCCTGCAACCCCAGATTCTATGAGTATAAGCACAGCCCTTTAAGGCTATAGCTAGTGGGTTTATCCCTTCGCGCAGCGCAACACTGAAAACTTTAGTCCACGCATGTGAGCCTCACCCCCGGTCCCTATAAATTATGGTGAAACCGGGTAATCGGCTCCCAAATAGCTTTTTTCTTCAGCCATTTAGGAACCAGTGAGGCCCAGAGCTTAAAGGGCTGTGCCTATACTCATAGAATCTGGGGTTACAATACGTAACCAACATTCTATTTCGTATAGGCTTCACCCTTTAAGGCTATCACTAGTGGGTTAAAGGTGAAGCAGGATGTAGTCTATGTCTCACTGGGTCCATTCAGACACAATACGAAGTGCCCGCTTGCACCAAAAAACATTTAATCACTCAGCCTTCTGTGTGCACAGGAGTGCTCTGGAGAGAAAAGGTTTCCGACAGGAACAAAGGGAAGGCTAAAAGCAGTCCTGCTGCTGAGAATGGAAAAGAACAGAGGTTACAAATTGTAACCGTGTAACAGTGAGCAGAGCAGGTCAGCAACTCTTCAATATGAACTGATTAATAACAAATTAACTGATTATTAATCAAATGAACTGATTGGTAACAGTAGTCATGAACTGATTAGTAACAATAAAAGCAGCAGTCACAAATTTATGACTGATAATAAATGTCTCACACTGTAGTTGCATGCAGACAGATGTGAGTTTAAAACAAAATTCCATGAAACAAGTAAAATCCATTCTGTTAGAACACTAAGAACAGAATGGGTCATGGAGAAAACAGAAACATCACCCAGATAGAAATGAATAAATGAACATGGCGATGTCCAAGTGGCCGCCGTACAAATGTCCTCCATTGTCATTCCTCCATGCAAAGCTGTAGAAGATCCAATTCCTCTAGTGGAATGAGCTCTGAGATTCTCTGGAGGCTCCAATCCTGATGCCCTATAAGCTTCAGAAATGGCCTCACACAGCCATTGTGAAAGGCGCTGAGTGGATAGTGGGAGACCTGCAGAGATGTCCCTATATGCACAAACAGACTCTGAGTCTGCCGCAGAGGAGACGTGCGTGCTATGTAACATGCCAGCGCATGCACGGGACGGAAACCCCTCTAATGTTATCATTCTCGATTTAAATGAACTTGTGATGTTTTTCGGTATGAAAGCTGAGTTAGGTCTCAGCGCAGCTGAGCTGCCATCAGCTTGAATCCTGAGGCATGACGGGGCAGCAGAGAGTGCAGATAAATCACTCACTCTCTTTGCTGATGTCAAAGCCAACAGCAGGGTTGTTTTAAGTGACAGGAATTTAAGTGACACCTGATCTAAAGGCTCGAATGGAGCTTTTTCAAAGCTCGCAGAACCATCGTTAGGCCCCACTGTGGAGCTAGTGGGTGTGACACCGGTCTGTGTCTCTGTACACCTTTTAGGAAACGCTTCATCAGCAGTTGATTAAAAACTGTTCTGTCACCGAAGCCCTCGTGGCAAGAAGAAATAGCTGCAGCATAAGTTTTCAATGTGCTGAAAGCTAAATTTCTGTCCATCACCTGCTGCAGAAAGGACAGCACGCCACCTAGTGGACATGAGATGGCCTCTACACCTTCCTCCGTGTATCAGCTCTGAAAAGCTGTCCACTTTGATGTGTACAGCACTGTGGTGGAAGCAGCTCGTGAGTCTTGGATTGTGCGCACCACTTCCAGAGAGAGACCCATTTTCTCTAAGCGGATCCGCTCAGCTACTAGACCCAAGGGTGCTGGCCTATTTCTGGGTGACTCCTGATCACTCCTCCCACCTGGAGGAGAGCATCGTCCCTCCACGGCAGTTTCCACGGTCAGCCCGATAACAGACGTTGCAGGTTTGAGAACCACAGGGCACTCACGCACTTGGGGGCTACAAGGATGGCTGACAGTTCTTCCTCCCAGACTCGGTTCAGAAACCGTGGTATTAGAGGGACTGGAGGAAACGCGTAAAGGAACATTTTTGGCTGTGGACAAAAGTGTCCACTCCTAATGGTGGGTTGTCCCGTGAGCTCAGTGAGAACCATAATTGACACTGGGCATTCTCCCGTGTGGCGAACAGATCCACTGCTGCTCGGCTGAACCTGCTCCAAATCCGAGAAATCAGCTCGGGATGGAGACTCCAGTCTCCATGGCGAGGACCGCCCCTGGACATTATGGCCCCTCCTTTGCTCAGGACGTCGTGGATGTACACTGCTCTGATGGAGTGCAGGTTTTTGTGTGCCCAACACAACTGCTGTCTCACAATGCATAACAGTTGGACTGAGAGCACGCCCCCTGACGATTTATGTAAGCTGCAGTCACTTTGTTGTCTGTATGAATCAGAACATGTTGATTCTACAACAGGGGAGCAAAATGTTGAATCACATTCCAAACTGTGCAACATTCCAAAACGTTTATATGAACTGATGGGTGAAGAGGCCACCGTGCCCCCACCATCTGAGACAGGCACGTTCCTCCCCAGGCTGACAGGGACGCATCTGTGAAAACCGAGACGTGTGATGTAGGCCTGCTTATAGGAACTCCCTCTGACAGAGTGAGAGGGTTTCCGTAGTGATTCAGGTCAGTTCCCACGGAGGGAGGCACAGAGATCATCCGCCTCTTCTGATGCACCGGATCTATGCGCAGGTGGGCGAACCGTCTCTGAAGGTGTCTCATGTGGAGTAAGCTCAGAGGAACCACAGCATGGGCTGAAGACATCATACCCAATAGTTTCATGATAGAGAC